CCAAAAATTAGACCAAAATTTTCTTCCCTGAAAAGACAAAGAATGAGGACCAGTCCAACCTAGGATTGGTTAACTAAAAATCAGTTATCACGGTAAAAGGTGCCGTCAGTCCTGCCATACTACAAAATTTTACTAACAGTGGCGTCCATAAAGCTGGATAATAGTTCAAATCATTTTGGGACGTATCGGAACAAACCTCATAATTGTTCCAACAAACTTTACATCACCCTGATTAGGTTTCGATAAGATTGGCAAAACAGATCATTGACTTCCACCACTTCTTGTGCACCCGAAGTCTGGAGGACATCTTTATATTACTTAGTTGAGTGCATCAATGTACCCGAACGCAATGATTTTCGCTAGCTCAGCTGGTAGAGCACCCGTCCGGCAAGCTGAAGTTCTGTGGATCATGTCCAACTATAGGCGAGTTTTCTCACTCATACTTCGTATGAGTAGGCTTCTCATTTCGAACTCTGCCAAACCATTGTGCACTTCCTAAAGATCCCTAAATGTTACATGCACTCATACTACCCGGAATAATTGTTACATCACCTAAACAGCCGGACTAACAATGGTATTTATCTTAGCATTTATTAGGCCAAATCAGTATGTCTTAACCTTTGTACGTGTATAGTCAGAATTTTTGACCTCTCACTGAACAGACGAATTGCTTACAGTCTATCATCCACAGATTCTAGCGTGTAAGTTTAAGCCAATGAGAGTCTGCTACGGTTGATCTTGATATTTTCCTCTTCCTGAATATACTACGTTCAATCCAACTACACTCATAACCCTGCCTAAAACGATTATCAGACACCAAGGCCCCATTTGTCGTAGTTATATTATTTCTTCCTTGTGTTCTATTTTTGTAGTATATGACGGAACTTTTCGGTGTACAGTTGTCATCCAGTTCAACCATGAATTGTTGATGTTACGATGAAAAGCGCTGTATGCTTATTGTGCTTGGTACCACCATATCCTGCGATCGTTGTTACATGTGAATCGTACACGAAAATGCAGCTTCACATAGTGTGTGGCTTTCACCTAGGCACCAAACAGTCGTGAGACACTTTCACGACGAAGACTCCTCTAACTCCTGAAATGAACCCAAAGGGCGAATGGATATTTATTCATGGTACTTTGTTATAAACAGTTCAAATAAGGTTTTGAATTTGTATAGTAGGTCAACGAAGCAAACAAACTCGATGTTTGTCGGGTCATGAATCTACCGAGTGGTGAATATGTAGTATGTCTCTACGAGGCCAATGCTTTTGGGTTTTGAAGTGTGCCTTAAGGCTTTAGGCTGCGATTGACCCAAGAGCAAGCAGCTTCCATCAAGACGTGATTTATTCCGTTCTGTTCTGTATCCTTCGGTTTGGAACCATCCAAAAGTGAAGGGTTTTTTTACCGAAGAGGCCTCAGAAGTGTTCTGCAAACATGATGGTACCTATAGAAAATTATATCATTTGGTGAGCAAACTAATTTAACGAAATTGTCAAGCGCAGCAAACTATTCGGCTACCAAATGATAGATAAGTATCCAAACCAGGAGGCCCGACGCTGCTGTATCACTGTCTCAGTCAATCACACCTGTATAAAAAAGTTACTTGTAGTTGTTTACCCGTGTTCTTCCAAAGCCAGACAGTGATCTGATCAGATCGTCTCTCAACTCAAGTTCCCACCAGGAAGTGCCCTTTGTCTGACTTTTATGTCAACACCCGACTGAGTACTGCCAAATAAGACTCTAAATACCTCGATTTTTTCCATTTCCTTGCGACATTTCTGGAATGGAGAGTGGGTTACTATCGGTACTGACTATCAAGCGTCGACGTCAGCGATCCGAAACATTCAGACTCCGTCTGAATCACAAGAACCAATAATTGGTTATTAGTTGATAGAATCCATCTTAAGTATCCTGTTCATCACCAAAGTCCTCCGTGTTGACCGAATGAAAAGTTTCTGTGCCACAGGACACTGGTTAGTAACACAAAAAACATCCGCTGAACGGTGGATGCAGGATTTATGTTTGAACTGAATTCAGATGGCAAGCGAGTATCACCACCTAGTGCTTCATCTGAAGTAAAAAACCTCTGCTAGTTTTTTTCTTCCGCCCTCCGAAGAATGTGAACTTAGTGGTAGTAGGAAGATAGAGATCCGATTTCCAAATAGGTAGCGAGGATTTCCACCACAGTTCGAAATGGCACCAATGAATCAAGCGCTGGTGTGAGGTCGTCGTCAGCTTCCCACTGCATAGAGAAACTAACACGTTTTAAGTGATGGCCCAAGCGTTGAAGAATCCATGAACCGTTTAGTTTGTGTCACATACGCGACTCATATGCATTTGGATGTCTACCACAAGTCGTACATATCTGATTCACATAATATACACTCACATATAACACTCAAGTAGGATGCAACTCCAATTACATCACTGGAAAAAGCGGATAGTCGTGATATCTGATGGTTATTTTCCGCTTCGTGTTGTGAAACCGTAAAAACCTGGCAAAAGGGACTAGAGTTTCCTGTGCCGTGCGGAATTTTACGAATTTACAGAATAAAAGTTGTCGCATGTAGGAGATAATGTGGAGAAAACCAAGGATTCGAGAAATACACTTGCAAATCAATTTGGTTTTCACGAGAAACTCAACTGAATCTTTCATTTAGAATATTCTACAACTGAATGTGCTGAACACAAGTCGCCTAATGATTCAGTTGGCACGATGTTCGAGATATCGCTGTATATTTCCACAAAGGAAACTACTCACAAGGTTGCTGAAAACTCAAGACCGGTTTCGCACTTCTTGGGGCTCATCAGGTAGCCGCAGTTCCCGAGTTTCCGTCAACCTTACGTATGCAACTGAGTGTGTTTCTAAAAAATAATCCAATTTGTGTTCAGTTAGAACATAAGGTTGACGGGAACTCGGGGACTGCGCCTACCTGATGGGGTTCAAGAAGGGCGAAACCGGTTGTGGGCTGTGGAAGTGTTTTCAGCAACCTTGTGAGTAGTTTCCTTTACGAAAACCAAGGATTGCTTAAATTGAGTAAAATATTGCACAATTCAACTCATTTTTCCCGGTTTATGTAGCAACTGTGTTGATTTCTGACAATCAAGCAAGTTCAAGTAAGCCTATATTTTTATTTTCTTCGTGAACATTTGGAACACGGAAAATCCAGGAGCATTCCAACAAACGATTGGACGGTCATCACAGTTTCACCATCAATATACTTGGTACACTTGAACAGTGAATGATAGAATACTGAAGCCTCATTCGTTCCGAGTCTATTTCTCACTCGAATAGCCTCATTCTCGAGGCAAGGTTCTGCGGAATATGGAAAGCACAGACAAAAAGGCGCCCAGGGACTGAGCGCGCATTTTCAACGAGGAACGATATTTTAGTTAAACCTCAAAAATACTTTCCCTAAATGATCTGTCTCCAAAAAAGCTAGGAAGTGCATTTGTCATATGGGTTTACGAGTGACTGATCAAAGGGTTCGGATGATCGAAAAGGTCAGATCGGAATTCAAAATAACAAGCAATTCCACGAAAAGCCCTATGGGATTGAACGAGGTGAAGTCGGGATACAGAGCTTCTGGTTTGTTCGGTTGGCCTGGTGGTGTATTCTTACTAGATTTTCCCAACGATCCATTGTTTTAGGAATGAGTAAGCCAGGAATATCTGTTGAAATATCCAGCAGACATTTTGGCAAACAGAGCGTAACCATTAAAAATGGTATAAATGTTGTCAGTAAGAACTCTGTTGGCCTTACTCGCAAAAATTTAGGGACAAATTAGCTGTAAATTCCCTTGGATTTCAAACCTACTTTAATGTTTAATATTTGACGGATTGGCTTCTATAGCCTAGGAACCGCACGAAAGGCTCACAGCATCACAAACAGACACGTTACCCAAATTTCACGTCCAAATGCGCAAACATGTGAAATACAGAGTTGAACCTAACCAAACAAGCTTTACTGTAATGTTGGCTGAGTAGGATTACGAGAAACCCGTTGGTCGTGTGCATTTCAAAATGGCTCTACACAGTAAGTGAATCACGGTCTTGGTCAGGATATCACAAGGACGCACGTTCCAATAACAACGGGAACGCGTTTTACTACTTTGGTGAGGAGTTCAGTTTGTCAGGTGGTACTTGGGTTCGGTAACCTCCGATTCCCACTGAAGAATCTCTCCTGCTTCGTCTTCGCGTGTTGGGTAGCAGCAAAGCAAAAATAACTGTTCAATAAAAGGCGTTGGAATAATCTGTTTAGGGATATCTAATGAACAATGGCGGTCTCTTTTTCTCGGCATACTTCGCTTTTGAGACTAAATTTTCGTCAGGTCAAGTGAATAAGTCATCTGAAAGCTGGTGAACCAGTCAGTGAGATTTACAACTACCCGACCTAACCATTGCTGAATGTCGGTCGGCAGATCTTGTTTGGTGAGTGGTGTGGATGACTATGACTTACAACGGATGCCTTTAGGGGGCAGTTTTCACCACTTCTCCTCATGATTCTGAGGTCTTACTGTTCCTGTCCAGAGCACTTTTATGTTATACTTCTCCTTTTTCTTGTTGGTCTTTGTGTGTCAGAGATCGCTAGGACAGTTAAACTGGGGCTGGGAGGATCAGGTATGGCTTATCCTCTTTGGGTTTTGCACTTTACACTGATAACCAAACGCCGCCAATTCAGCGTATCAATTCAACCGTCCTCTCCGTGTTTTTCAGTTCTAACATTTCCATTTCGTTCACGTTCTATTCCGTCTCTTGATGGTTTGCACCACATCGTGTATCAGCAGCTGTGCCGTCAATACTAGTACTCGTTTTGATACTTCCACATATTCTAATTCCATTCTGTCCATTCTCTCTATTTTATACCCTGAAATTTTTAACTATTGTCTGATACTCACCCGCGTTCCTTGGTGGTCTGTTTATTCACCGCTTGTGCTCATCTGTTTTGGTATACAATTCCATGGTAGTTTCTCCCTATGTAAAGCTTTGCGCAGCCGTCATATTTTAGGTTTTATATAGCCCCTAGTACCATCAGCCGACGGGCGGACCTTTACGCTTAACAGTACTGAGTGTAAAGCGCTGTCATTCTGGAATGCATCTATAACATTGGCCATATTCAGCGCTGAAGTATTTTTTCGCTCACAAAAATTTGTCCTTCACTCTGATTACAGAGTCAAAGATAAACAGGGTAGGGTAGTTCCCATTGAACTGGTGTTTCAGCAGCATTCGATCAATTTGTCACCGATAAGCCTGGAGAGGATTATATGACTTTGTGGTAGCCTAATCCCATAGACTTTCAGTAGCTCCTATCAAGGTTGAGAATCTAACTACACTGTTCGCAAGCCGGCTTGTGAGGAACAGAAACCAAGTTTGTCACCACTGATCCCTTATGACAACACAGAATGAAATGGCACGGCGACTGGAGTGCGTTTATGTGAAAAAAGCTGCCCCGCAAGTTGTCATCGACACGTGGTCATGGATAGCGCACTGCTGGGAACAGGCTTAGTTCAATTAACACTGGACTAATTAGCCTGCTTTCACGAAAGAGGATGTTCGTATGCGCAACACCCATCATATATGTGCATCCCCACACAAAGCTGGCCTGTCACAGTGTTGACGGTCAGTCAGACATGGTAGAAGCAGCAAGGTCTTTATCCAAGTTTACAAACGCTAGATTTCACCACTGATTAGTTGCAAACAGATGTCAGGGGAATCTTGGTCACAAGCAATACCTTTTTATTTCAACCTAGCGATCAGAACATTGAAGAACCGCTGTTTGGAAACACGGTATTGTGTGTTGTTTCCAACTCTTTCAATCTTTAGTACAGCGGATTTATGGTAGGGATTATTCCATCTAATTATATATGTATAATGGTTTCAAGCAAACGACATCGCTCCAGCTGTGATACTTCAGGAGTGCCGAGCGTACAATGGTTGAGTGGTGGTAGCACACTCCTATTAATGCTAGCGATGTTACTATCATGTTCACGGATTCTTAAGTGCATGTTAGAATCCTAACAGCGCCAAATATATGGGTTTCTGATAAGCTCCATCAAGAGAAAAACTCGCGTCCATTGCTGCCCTTCCTCAGTGCGAACTCGGTAAAATAATGGCCCTTACCGAGAAGGAGGGTTGTTTACATGAGAGTGACGTGAAAACAAATTCTAGGAGGGCGAAACCGGTCGTGGGCTGTCGACGAATTTTCAGCAACCTTATGAGTAGTGCATTACAAAAATACAGGTATCACGATATCTCGAATATCGTAGCGACTGAAAAATGAGGCAGTCTGGTGCAGGACATTCAGTTACCTGGAAACGAGAGGTTCAGCTGAGGTTCCGGGCAAGTCTCCGAAAAACCAAATTAGTTTGCAAATGAGTGTATTTCGCTAACTTCTAGAAGTCCAACAATGAATATGATGATATATTAGTGTTTGAAAGACGTGACATAATGTGCTACTCAAATAAAAGAAGAATGATTATTCACCACCAGGTCCTGCAGTAAAATGTTTCCAATATTTTACAATATTTCATAAATGATCAGAATTCTTGATGGCCGAGTAGGTTTCGTTGGCGACAAACTGTCCCCAGTAAATGTTATTTTACAGTTACCTACATAGGCGATAACAGATGGTACTGTTTACAGCCATTTGAGACGAGTTGGCTGATAAACATATGAATTTCAAGTAATACGACAATATACGGGGCTCGGAAAATGGCGCGATTAACGTGTACAAATCTTGTTTTAAAATGGACCGTGGTCTTACATTACTGCGGCTCACTGGGATTTCGCCCCTCTCACACCCTCATCGTTTTTATATGATGTGTTAAAATTAAAACGCAAGTAATTGAAAATGTCTAGGGTTTCCCTGTCGGTTCTCTATAGACAGGCTGGATCGATGAGCAAGCATATGAACGTGGAACATTCACCTTCCCCGGGCCGAGAAGGCTCAATCCGGGAGCCTCTGAAATACGGTTTGTGACTAACACCAAAGTAGACTGACGACTATGCTAAACGTTAATTTCGAACATGGTGATTTTTGTAAGGCGGAATGTAAGTCGCCGCTGCACAATGCAACCCGATCTAACCGTGTAGATCGGTCTGAATTTAAGGGCTCATTTCCATAAACGGTTGATCACTCCTGCACTTTAAACACCGACGTCAACTCTAACAGTACTCCTAGGCGTCTTGTGCAGGAGAGTAGCTATATGACTCACAGGGATTTCCTGAAGGTTTTAGGCAAACCAATCAGCATAGAAGGAGGATTTGGGTATNGTTCATGTAGGGAAAACTTGTTTTATGCAAGCGGGAATGCAAAGCTTATTCACAGCGTGCCACTTCATGCTTTTCGGTTCGAAATTAGAAGGCCACCATAAATTAACATTGTTTTCATCGTTATATATCATGTTACCGAATATCAGTAGTATTTGAGTGACGACATCTTTGTTGTGATGAGTCATATATTGTCAGAAAAGCAGTTTCCTTAAATCTAGTTAAGTACGCATGTATGTTTTATGACGGAATGGGCGAAAAGAATGCCCAGAAATCAGTTAAAACGGAGGTTGGTTGAAAAATACTCGCTGGATTCGACGACAGCTCACGACCGGTTTTGCCCTTCTTGGGGCTCATCAGGTAGGCGCAGCTCCCGAATTTCCGTCAACCTTATGTTCGTCTTGAAACCAAATTGCATGAAATTAGCGAAATGCACTCATTTGCAAACTAATTTTGGCTTTTCGAGAAGCTCACCTGGAACCAAGCTGAATCTCTCATTTGTGATGTTTCCAGGCATTACCAATATACATGTATCGCGATATATCGAGTATCGTAGTGACTGAAACATGAGGTGGCCTAATGCAACACATTCAGTTGCCTGGAAACATCACAAACAAGAGATTCCTCTGGGTTCAAGGTGAGTCTCTCGAAAAACCAAATTAGTTTGCAAATGAGTGTATTTCACTCGGTGGATTGTTTTTATGTATGCTATGGTGACGCTGATCATTTTTAATTTTCACAAGCTATTTAGTTGAGGCACACGTCTCTGGTTATGTGGATGTTCACTGTGAAAAAGTGGTCTCCAGGATTAAGCTTTGCGCTTGATTTAAGTTGTTTATGACAAATGGACTAGCCCGTATACGTAACCAATCAATTGATTGCTCTTCCAAAAGTTAACACATCATGTGCGGGTGACGAACTCCTGTCGTTCCCCTTGTGGGTGGTGTAACATGTGATTAGTGAAGTGGAAAATTGTTTTTCCTTGTCACCTCTTTCAAGCCCTGAAGAAGAGCAACTGCGAGGGGAATTCGATACGGAGGATCCTGAATTCGAGTGGAGGCGAAGAGCGGGTCTTTAGACAACCCATTAGCCCGAGGTGATGACGGATTGCAGCCAGCATTTATGCGGCAAACACTGAGGCGAACAGTCAATGGAAAGCTGAGAGAGGCTTGTGTTTTCTTATCTAATTTTGAGCATAGAACTTTTCAGAGGCGTGGTTCCGACTACACAGTACTGGTGAACGCCGTAGAAAAACACACTTTCAGGTACCCTCATAATGGCCGAGGAGCACTGAACATTAGGAAGCTGAATGTGACCGAGTACCGACTTTCAGGTTACCGCAAGTTGCAGTCTATCAGAGACTGAAAATCGTACAATTACCGTTGAACAGTCATAGGTACCGAAAGACCTCAGTATTGTTTTGTTTACCTGGCAACATTAATCTGGATCTGTTTAAGGATTTTCCCGTAGCTGTGGTTTACCATTATATCTAGTTTACTGATTTGCCATCTTAACGCGAATGAGACAGTGCACAATGAATGCACCGCGCCAATGTGTTGCGTTGCATTCGTCAAATACGAAATATAATGGTTTTTTTGAATGGGTGATTCATTTCTATCTTCAGACAATGAAAACCTCCAAACCCGGTATCCATTTGTCTGTCCAATGTGCAAGGAGCGGATAGAAGCAAATGACCTTGAGACTCACTTTAATTTTGAGCTGGAAAAATTCCGATTGGAAAGTGATGAGTGAGTCACTGTGTGTACTATTGATTAACAGATGCGGAAAACAAAGAATTGGGTTTTCTTCACGCTAAAATACAAGTAGATTATGATTATTTTGAACGCAGTTTTTGGTGGCTCAACTTCACTTCGGGTACCACCAAATGTATCAGTAAATGTTGTTTGATCTTGATATATTCTTTTTTATTGCAAGTTTAGCTAGTCTGATTACCACGATCCAATATCCGGCTGGTGGCACACGTTTATCAATATTTCCCGGGAAAAACTCTCCGGAATACAAAGGCTAATAAGCCCATTTGCGTACCATTTTGGTTTTGACGGGGTGATCACCTGGAAACTAGCTGAATCTGTCGTTTATGGTGTTCGTGGCGCACGGTTTACCAGGACGGATGCTGGTGGCAAACTTGAAGACAGCTCTGAAGAACACGATCGTCAGGACAGTAAGACACGATCATACTCAGTTGAACATACAAGCTGCGTGTAAATTTGACCCTATATTACTGGTTGTCAACCAAGGATGCGTTCAACCATTGGTGATGTGAGGCAGATAAACTGATAATAGCAGCAAGCTGCCGCAAGATTAAGTGGAACTACCTCCCAAATTTAAGTGTGAATTTTTTCTATTGGCCGCTTTTAATTGGTCCTGAAAGTGCTATCCGCCAAGACCTTTGCGCCCTTGGTGGCTTTTCGTGACAAATACGAGCATCACGTCAGGAGCTACTTGTTTCAGAAAGAAAATATTAGACTTAACAGCATCTCCTGGGTGTGGGTAAAAACATTCAACCAGAACAATCCACTTATGACTTCATTGGTCATCACATCACCTAAGTTGGGTGTGTGCTTATGTGTATGTGGTTAACATTCGATTTAAACGGGTCCCCTGCACAGATTGACATGTAGATCGGTTCTAAAGGACAGGTTTACACTTGTTTTCCTCGTGAGGTGGTGTAGGGCTGGCTGTAAATAGCCACCTCTTTAAGTTGTTTCTTTTTCTGAGAAAATGTCGAAGGCCTGAAATACTGTGATATTTGTAATGCACTAATCATAAGGTTGCGAAACTTCGTCAAAATAAGTAATGTGAAAATATACAATAAAAAAACAAACTAGTTTGCAAATGATTGTATTTCGCTAATTTCGTGCAATTTGGTTCCAGGTGGAACATGAGGTTGGCGGAAACCCGGGGACTGCGCCTAATTGATGAGCCCAAAGAAGGACGAGACCGGTCGTGGAGTGTCGACGAATTTTCAGCAACCCTACGAGTAGTGCATTACAAATAGGCAGGTATCACGATATCTCAAACATCGTAGGGACTGAAACATGAGGCGGCCTGGTGCAGCACATTCAGTTGCCTAGAAACATTACAAACGAGAGATTCAGCTGGATTCAAAAAAACAAATTAGTTTGCGAGTGAGTGTACTTCGCTACTAGTGATATTATTCTATGGCTCACTTGTCCTTATAAAAAGAAGACAAGGTTGGAAACTGAGGAAATGGGCGTTGGTTACGACGTGCGGAGGAAAAGGAGCATTGCGCTTGCCTTCGCTAGTGTTTTTTCAGGATGCCGCAAACATTTATCATAAGATACAATGAAGCTCTTCTAATGTGCTTACGAATGAATCTGATTTGCATCAACATTGTGGGTCAAGATATTGTATCTCGACATAACTCCCTAGCGTTACTCTATTAGTGCTTTTATGTTTATTTGACGTCGACTAGTCTGCTTCCAGTTCTGATAGATTTTTAATCGCGTATCTTCGACTGCAATTATCACATGTGTTCAATCTTTCGCTCTGGCTGCTTCAACCAATTAAGTGAGCCCTCTCATGTGACATGACCTACTGGACCTTTGCGAGTTTCAAGAACAGCCAATGATACTAGTTAAATATAGCAGCACAGGAGCTGTTGTCGGAATGTTCGTGCTCAAAATACTTGACATTCTGACTGGCTGTTTCCAAGGTTCAATTCCTCTGCGAGTTCATCTACCGAAAACCTGTGTTTCAACTTATTTTATTTTTGGCCGCAGTAGACGAAGAAGAGGGATAAACTCAGCGATGAAACTATAGAACCAACCAAGTTTCTCACAGTCATTCCCTTCGTGTAAAAATTGAGGGAGATTTTTGCACAGAAAATGATAAATCACACATGAAATTAATAACAAAAGTAATGATTACTTTACTTTGATCAACTAGCTCTAACCCACTTGTTCTTGCCAGTTCAACGGAAATTTCGCCCAAAAAGCAAAAGGTAACCAAACGTGCAAGACCATGTTCTCATATCCCGATTTTTGTTGAATCCACTCAAGTGATCTTTCCAGTAAGTGACAACTACCTACGATAGACTGGCGATTAAGAAGTGGGCCAGTGACCAAAAGTTTAGCCTGGATTTGTAGTGATCCATTTTGAAGGGGTGCCTTGAATGAATCATAATTCGGTACTATCAGTGAAAACTTAGAAAAGAGAGACACCATGCATGTTCTTTACAGTCAGCTTATCCGAGAATTAGATTTTTACACGTCGTTCTTGTTGTTCCCTCAAGAAATGTGCATATGGTGTATGCCGGGCAACTTCATAGAAAATGACCATATTCTAAAAGTCTGACATCAGAGATTTTGGGGTGCTGGGGGTTCGTTCTGCTAGATCCACATTGTGGCAGCTCACAAGAAAATAGGGAGTCAAATGATTCAAATGATTTAATAAGTCCTGCTCTATTATAGCTGCAGAAACAGCTACTTCAACTCACATCCGGCATGTGTTGACCATTCTGATGCTATGAACACAGTGAACTTCCGTGCTTTGGAAGGCCTACCTAAAGATTGGTATCTCAGGATCGGTCTTCTAAACTTTAAAGATTACATGAGTGAACCAACACGCCTTATTTTCCGAGCGTTTGGATTTACTTTGAAAGCTCACGACTGTGTGCAAAATCATGTTAACGGATCATAACGGCGCTTGACGAAGAGGTGCCCTTGCATATTTCGTCTGGCTGCTACGATCCAGTTTAATTAGACAATTTTCGTGCCAGTGTCAGTTTCATAAACTGCTTCCTTGCTGCGAGCGTACGAATAAACATGTCTGAACTCAGGGGTTGATTCGAAAAGATGAATTTATTTACTACTGGGTCGTACACAAGTGCTAACTCAAGAGGATGCCATCCTAGGAGTTTTTGGTGAAATGATGGATTTCCAACGTAGTTCTCCCATCTTTTGTCATCGTGATGTTTGTGAACTAGCATCACTATCAAAACCTAAGTCATGAACATCTTTTCGTCGCCCAACATCATCTTCAACTAATCGTTTATCGTAAGCTGCCTTTCGTTCGGGTGAAATCATTGTGCCTATTCCACATCATCTAGTATGATTGCTTCTCCTATACATGCTTAAGGAAATATGTTTATGCAGAACTGACTCGGTTGTGTTTTTCATCTACAAGCATTTTAACTCTGTGTAATCGCCCACCGAATTGCGCGACTTCATTACAAACGTTTCGTCAGCAGTCGAGGTGACACCAACAATGCACGGTAGTCTAGTGAACCTATGTGGTTCAGCGCTAAGGCACTGATGATGCCATCTCAGCTGATGATGAAACGTTCGCGGTCAAAATGCCCAGGTCAGCAAACAGACAAACAGTCATTTAAGCAATCTCAGCCACCAGCATTCTCTTTCATAGTAAACGTTTATGTTTCAGAGAAACAAAAGGACAAAGTCTCCAGCAACAAGTGAGCGTACCATTTCATCTCCCGAATTCTTTTAATTAGAACACTGATTGCACAAAAACACCGCCCCTTACGCTTGATACGCTTGATGAGTTGGAAAGTCAAGCGAGGTATGAAAAGTTTCTCATTGTGAAACAGCATCGAAGACAAAGACAAGGTATGTTATATTCATAAAGTTTTGACAGTTCTGCGGAATAGAAATGATGTCACGAATACGCTTGGCTACAGACTCTGGCATTCATCAAGATGGACTTAATCAAAAATGACTTCAAATGAGCAAGCAACGCCCACTTCTACGCGCAAAGGACAAAGCTACAACACAGTAGAATCAGAATGTTGTAGTCAATCTTGAAAATGATTCCAGTGTTCGCCAAAATTGGAACTTGTTCAGTGAAACTTCCAGCTGTAATTTCGTGGTATTTTCAGAATATATTATATTTTTTCATGTTCATTCTGCCAACCAAAGTTCAGTAGATAAGTGCTGATCAAAACTGCTCAAAATTTCTCCTAATCCGCGGTTTTGTTACTGCAAGTTTCATTAAGTATTCCCTCTGGACGAACCTTTACTTCACGGGTAACTTGAACAACATACTATTGGGTTGGGTGATCACGTGCTATCTTGTTGAACCATGTAGAAAATCCACTAAAAGAACTGGAGCCAGACTGACAAAAAGTGCAAATGACGTCCAAGAGGGATCATCACGTAAACCAGAAACACTAAACAATAAGTTGGTCCTAAAGTCATTTAGGCTTTTTCCATCAACTTAACACTTGGTGGCCCAACCTAGCACACAAAAGCTCGGTCGATACCTAACACAGATTTGGCTTGACTTAGCTGATTGATTCACCTTCCGCCTTAAATCCCGACCAACCTCGTAACCTGATCACTTGGCCTGACGAAGCTTTTGTGTCAAAAGTGAAACGTTACCCATCAATGAACCTACCGATTGCTACCAAACTTTTCCGAAAAGAAAGGTCAATAATTACATCCTCGAGGGCCCAAACCAAAGCTTTAATCCCCTAGTTTATACTGACTGGTGGCCTGCCTCCGTTAGAATCTATAACCGATAGCGGTGCCTATTGCTAGGTGAAACTTTCCGGATTGAGTTCCGATGGTAGTGGTCGGCCTTGACGTTCGGAGAAGTCAGTGTTAGACAAATGCCCATTTGAAAGTACAGTTGAGAAAACTAGATGTAGGTAACCCAGAATAAGCATGAGGTTAACAAAGTCAATCTATAAATCTGATGATTTTTGCTGACCAAAAATATGAGATTGTTGCGATCTAGTGTACGACTGCCTCTTTAAGACAGATCAGTATAAATGAAATCAACAAAAATAAGGAAAAGTGCCCATTTATCCTCTGTGAGTGTATTCAAACTAGGTTTTCATGATCGGATTTGCTGATCACATTATATGAAAACCACCCAGTCTTGGAGTAGAACTTTACACTTTGCAGGTGTGAGGTGCATGCCAAACCAAGGGACAGAAACAGTTAGAATATTTAATAATGTATGTATTACGACGGCAGCAGATCCAAGAAGAGATATGTCGTCTGCGTACTCGATATCTGCGATCGAATGCCTCTGGAGCACTTAGACCCCACATGTATTAGAGGTTGTTAGCGAGTTTTGCATTTTCGTATCAATGACATAGTCGAAGAGGAATGGTTAGAGACGACAGCTTCGTCCGACACCACTTGATGTGGTGAACTCAGACGAGAGGTTCCCCTAGACATCCTGCCTTAGCGGAAGTTGGCTCACAGTGCCCTAAGGAGGGTCGAGAATTTATAGGGGACACCTTTGCTCCACGGACACTACCACAGTGCTTCACGGTCGACAGAGTCAAAGGTAGCTTTCAAAGAGGACAATGATTGTTGTGCGCTGAAACAATGTCGCTGTTCCAGAATCTGTCGGAGGGTGAAAATATGATTGATGTATCCTTTTGCGAGACGCAATACAAATTGGTTTTCAAGGATCTGCCTCTCCCTGAGTTCAGTCAAACTTCGAAGGATAAGACCAGGGCGGACCTTCGACGCCACAACTACCAGGCTGACACACGATGGTTTTCACACAGCCTCCGAGGACACTTTTGAATATAGGACCAGCTGTCGACATGCCCTACTCTGCAGGCACTTTTTGTTCATTTCAAATCGCGCCAATGAGTTGTGGGTCACCAGGTACTCTCTGCCTTCTTTGAACATGGCTGCATAAAGGCCGTACATGTCCTGCTGCCTTCCCACGTGTCAGTGCGGCCATTTCCTACTTTATTTCTTCTTCCAACGTGTGACTAAGGTTTATATTCTATTCACCTGTGTGTACTATCTAGAAAGGCTGTGTTATAGAAGGCCAGATAAACTGTTCTTCAAAGAATTCAACCCATCTTTCCAATGGACTTTTTTGCGGCTGAATTATTGAGTCATCATTTCCACTTATCGTTCTATCGACCGTTGCTTTCCTTGTACCAGTTGATCATATCAGTTGATACGGGGAACAACCGTTTCAGGTAGCAAAAGCCTTTTTCATCTCCCAAGCTTTCAATGTCCACGAGAGCTCTTGGTATTTCCTTGGGCTCTTCGTTATTTGACGTTTAAGGGGTTTGCGTGCGCTACCGCACTAGTTATCTGCTGGTAGGAATCTCCTGACATCAATCGACGACATCCAGTGATCATTTGATTGTATCGGAAAAGTCGACAGACAGCATGTACTATCTAGAAAGGCTGTGTTATAGAGGGCCAGATAAACTGTTCTTCAAAGAATTCAACCCATCTTTCCAATGGACATTTTTGCGGCTGAATTATTGAGTCATCATTTCCACTTATCGTTCTATCGACCGTTGCTTTCCTTGTACCAGTTGATCATATCAGTTGATACGGGGAACAACCGTTTCAGGTAGCAAAAGCCTTTTTCATCTCCCAAGCTTTCAATGTCCACGAGAGCTCTTGGTCATTTACTTGGGCTCTTCGTTATTTGACGTTTAAGGGGTTTGTGTGCGCTACCGCACTAGTTATCTGCTGGTAGGAATCTCCTGACATCAATCGACGACATCCAGTGATCATTTGATTGTATCGGAAAAGTCGGACAGACAGCAAGGAACACCGCTAGCATAGGCCCATTCACGCGTTGCCACGCTTCATCCACATGCCCGCTACCACTGTAGTATTGGTTTACTGTAGAGATTTTTTGAGCTAGCATAGACCGATACCTTCAATCCATGGTGGATTTGCGAAGATGGTGGATTGGCATACTTCCTACTGATTTCCAAGGATCAGACAGAAAACGAACTGTCAGGCTTGCACGCACCATGGTGTGATCGGAATCAAGTAGTGTGCCCCAGGAGGAGCGACAGTCTTGAATTGTGGCTGATGGCCACGTGATCCAAGTAGGTCCACGGTTGATTTGCAGGTGGTGCCCACCAGGTTACGCACGGACCAGAAGCAAATCACGATCAGCGCACAGCTTGAGCACCCGCTCTCACTCCCTCGAGGCTTTTATAGACTCTAGACCGACCACCCAAGTGTGACTCCAAAGAGGTGAGACGACCAATCTGGGATTGGTCGACGAATGAGCCCAGATAGCTCTTGATAGAAGGTACCTTTCTCTGCATCAGAACTGAGATTCATTTGGGCCTAAGATAACACTACAAAAGGCACCGCTTTTTATGTCGAGGCACATTGAGCTTGATTGAGCTTGATTGAGCTGGATAACCGGACGGCGCAAAGTCAACTGTTCAGTGGGACCCACTCCGACCGAGCGCACTCAGCTCTCGGGCTGATTGCGACCTCCAAGCCATATATTCCCCTAGTCATCGCTTCTGGATCACCGGACACACTGAGGGAGGTGAAATAACGGAGTTCGCTGTCGGCGTTCTGAGATGCACAACCATGCTCGGGCCCCATATGCGTGTTTCGGAGTGGCAAGAAATATCAGTTTTAAAGGGGTATAAGTTTTCAGCGAATACTGCCTGTTTGCCACTTTGATATAGATTACGAACGTTAAAAATCCCAAGTAGAAATGGTCCCGTGTGTTTTGTTTACCTTTAATAGGCAACGGAGTGCATAAAGACCATCGATCACAGGCAACCGTTGGACGATCGAAGTGTTCGGTTTTTGGGGCCAACTTCTTGTAGCCCATCCCTTATCGGGGGAAGGCAGCATCGCCGCTTCCATGAATATGGAGATTCAAGTCGCTTGGGGAAATCTCCTTAATGCCTTCCCACTCCTATCGCATATGACAGTAGGACTTTATCCCCCACCGCCTTGTAGCACGATTACTCGTAGCACGGGGTCTGACTACTCCCCATTGGCCCTCCAGATATAATTGTGCCTTGTGAAACGAAGTTCCAGCCAGTGTAGCCCACGGTATCATTGCAAAACTCAAACCCGACCACCGCATGCAGGCGGTAGCTTTTGGTCACATTTTAACAGATAGGCCGCCTCTAACTCACGGATATTCTCGATTAACCGAAATATTGTGGCTTGAACCAGCGTGTTGCGGAACGCGTTTTACAGCTTGCAAACTGAACTCAACTTAATCGAGTCTGATCAGCTAGAAAAGAAAATAGCGGGTAAGTTCACTTGTGAAATCCTTGTGATGTGTAGCTACCGTGTAAACCTCAGGATGTGTGGGGTTGGAAACTTGCAAGTTTAGACCAAAACAGCCACAGCACAACTGGCCTTTAAGACAATAACTTGATAAGGATTTGGAGTAAAAACCGCTCAAACTTTGTTGGCTGCTAGAAGTGCGTCCGAACGATCGAACTCTAGGACGTTGTTTAATGTTGATCTCCTTCATTGCATGATCTTGGGGCGCAACCAATNAATGTGGATCTCCTTCATTGCATGATCTTGGGGACGCAACCAATGGCAATAAACAGCAGGAATGCGGGTATCCGAAACAAGAAATTGCCAGTTTTTGCAGGCATAAGACAAACTGGGTTGATGGTAAGGATGGAGGCCCAGGAGTTCGTCTTCCAAAAGTGAATCTTATCCTCTAGAATTTGGTGCGACGAAAAGTGCCACTACAGCTGAACGCGGTAGCTGGAATGTGCTGTAGTTGACTAGGGTCGTGCAGACTCTATACGACCGGACAGCTTAGCATCTGCTGTTGCACATATGGGATTGGCAGAACTGAAGCCTCAGCAATAGGCAAACTATGTGGTGCCTGTCTGTCTGATTTGACAATCATCAATTAACCAAAATATCTCCTTACAACACCATTGTGGCAAGAGGCTATCCGGCTTTCCACGTACACCTACGGACTTTAGCTCAACTCTTTTCTGGATTTTTTCTCTAAATGCTCCACCGTCAGACGCAATGAAACAAGACAGCTACATCCATGTACGGTACCGAAATTTTACCTCAGGCACAAAACTGCAAGATCCATTCAAGCACTTGATGTCAGAGAGAGCAGTGGCCCTGCCAGAACACCGGAGAAATCCCCCCATAGGTTCCACACAAACCAGACCTTGCGCGCCGAACATGAAGTCTGATGAACAAGAGTAGATGAGGACATGCAAGAGACCAATAAAACCAGGAAATCATTTCGGCTGATCAATGCCACAAGTTCACGGAGGTCATCTTAATACACTTAGTCAGCAAAGAATGTTTTAGAACTTTCCCAGATTTTCGGGCTTGTGAGAGTACACGGGGAGCTCTCGAAAATATTTCGTTCACATGGTGGTGAGCGGCAACGATGCCCTTGCATTCAATCCTACGATCGAAAATGAAATGGGACACATTGAAAGGTCATCAAAACACTGGTGTTCAAATGGCTGCTGACGAAATTCTCTTTAATATGAGATTTGAAGATTCGAAGAAAAGGGAAGGACACAGGTGTTTTTGATTAGCTGAATAAAGGCATTCCAGTAGCGAAATACACTCCTTTGTAAACTACTTTGGTTTTGCGAGAGATTCACCTAGAACCCAGCTGCATCTCTCGTTTGTAATATTTCCAGGCAACTGAATGTGCTGCGCCAGGCCCCCTCATGTTTCAGTCGCTACGATATTCAAAGTTAGGCTAAACTTACATCTTTCCTACACTCATTTGGAAACGAGAGATTCAGGTGGGTTCAGCTGAGTCTCTCGAAAACCAAATTAGTTTACAAATGAGTGTATCTCACTAATTTCGTGCAATTCGGTTTCAAGTAGAACATAAGGTCGACGGAAACTCGGGGATTGTGCCTCCCCGATGAACCCGAAGAATGGCGAAACCAGTCGTGTGCTGTTGACGAATTTTCAGCAACCTTATGAGTAATACATTACGAATATAAAGGTATTCCATCTTTTAGTATGCTATTTGCATCCACAAAATTGAAGACCGTGCGGCTGGACATGACACCATTAAACACAACAATTACGATCCAAGAAGAATCGCTGAATGTTGCGGAATTTTCTACGTGTATCGGAAGAACGGTCAGCTCCGAGTGTTGGGTTATGGATGTTGTCAGTGCACGAATCTTCGAGGTTGGGGTCAAATTCGCTTGCTTCAGCCGCGGCAAATTCCGTTAATCGACTGATATTTTTCGGGAAGTGCTCAAGTCACCACCACCAGATTTTTTCTTGAATTTATCAGCTCTCCACAATTGCACTACTCCCTAGAAGTTCGGACAGCAGCACGAAAAGTTAATCGCACACTAAACACGACTCCGTCGTACAACTCACTCCAAGTCGTATACTTTTCCGGTCTCGCGGCGTTGGCTCACTTTTCCAACTGCCAAGCTACAGTAGTATTTTAGACA